AATACCACCTTGCATTGACATCGTCGGCTGATATGTAGTAGCAAACTCAATCGGCATTTCCAGATCTGGAACACGATCACAGATTGCAATGACCGAGTCATAGTCCCTTGTCAATGTCACTTTTGGTTCTGGCAGGTCAGCTCCAGCCATGGTGAGATTGATGTAATGATCCTTGCCGTATTCCCCACACAATACATAGTGGAGATACTTTCCACGACGTGCGATGCTCCTTGTTGAAACATTCTGATGCATCCAAAGTTGACTACATTCTTGAACAAACTCCCCCAATGTGACATCTCTTGATGTGTGGACACCCCAAATGCGAATGTTATTACCATCAACATCATCATCTGGATCCCATTCTCCATGTCTGATTTCTCCTTGTCGATGGTGCAGAGGTCCATCATCCTCGTCACTAGAGGCTGGCTCAGGGGTGCTTCGATGGGATGACTGATGAGCCTCATCCTCTTCATCCCTCTGTTCTGGATGGCGACGACGTCTCCGATGATGATCCTCCTCATCACTAGCAGTGATTTCAGGGTGCCGGCTTCGACAGGATGACCCATGAGCATCATCCTCTTCATCCCTCTGTTCTAGATGTCGATGATGTCGTCGACGATGATCATGAATATGGGTGGACTCGGGGCACCTGCTTTGACGAGATATCCGGTGTCTAATGGCACCAACAGAAGGAGGTGTCCAGGATACTAGATGCCTGATTAGACCAATGGCTACTTTCCAGTGATATGCATACCATCACGATGTTGATCCTCATCATTGTACTCATCCTCTTCTTCTTCTTCTGCTCCTGCTTCTTCTGCTCCTCCTGCTTCTTCCTGGTCTTCATTGTCGGTGAACAAGCTACTTGTATGTCCTGATCCCCGAAAAAAACTGTCATCATCCTGGTCAGAGTTCATGCTAAAGGGGAAAAGTAGGTGGGTGATATCACTGTTTGCATCTACTTTATACTAACAAAGCAGAGCGCCACATGAAAAATTTCTCTATTTTTCTGAAGACATTCAGCTGGACATGACATTGACAGCACAATTTCTTGTCATGTCAAATTCTTTGTAATGCAAAACAAATTGTATGGGACCGTGAAGTGCAGGGGACCCATCCTTTTCAGTTCCAGGATATTTTCACCAATTGTCACTTGTATATTTAGTGACATGAAATGTATACATTACAAAAATGTGTCATACTAACTGCAATATGAAACTATATAAAATTGTTCTTGAAAAAATGCGTTGAACTGCCAATGAAGCAATGTCAAGAAAGCCACCCACAAACGACCTCAATGCCTCCGTGCTGGTTCTTGCATATTAGGCCTAAATGATCCATTCCGTTCAATCACGAAAGTCGCCTGCGGAGTCTGTGGAGCTGCATTAGCAGTATCCTTTGACCTGGCTGCTTGAGATCGTGTCCTTGACATTCCTCTCGTTCCTCTTCTCTGCGATAACTCTGGAATTCCTGACTGAGTATTCAACTTACCTGTTGGTGCAGTTGAAATGGACTTCTTCCTGCCAGGCAATGGGGTTAGGGTTAGGGTTAGGATGGTGTCCTCCCTTCGGCGAAGCCGTTGGGGGGACACAATAATCATGAAGCGATCACTTACTAAAGTTGGTAAGACTTGAGGATTGCTTGATTGCTTGGTAAAGCGAAGCTGGGTCCAACAGAGGGATGGGGTTTCCATCTCTCACCCTGTTTCGCTTTTATAGCTCTTCAGGGACCTGCTTCATAAGCCGATGACTCGGCTGAGAGGATTTGGCGGTCCAATCAGCTTGGCTTTATCAGCAATCACGCAATCCGCAGCACACCATGTGATACGGTTAGTAATTAAGGTAC